CCGTGTAACGGTGTCGTCGTTCCCTACGAAGGGTTGTTCGCGTTCCAGAGAATCTTTCTTATGTGATCTCCGCTCTTCCGTTAGGGAACGATCGACCGGCGAACGCGAAATCGAGCGGTATATTGTCGCCTCTACTCTCACGTTTTTCCATCGGGATCTTATTTCGTCTCGTTTCTTTCTCTCCCGCTTCCTATTTTGCCTAAGGTAATAGCGTTACACGAGAGAGAGAGAGAGAGAGAGAGAGAGAGATTGACTAGTTGCATTTAGCTCGGAGGAACGAATACGGGCGAAAATTCTAGCTTTATCGAGGTAGCGTAAGGTACTGTTAGGTTGTTTTCTCGGCGACGACGGTCGGTATCAGTCCTCGACAACGGTGATGTTTTTAGCGGTAAACGGGAAGAACGGGAGAGAAAGGGAGAGAGAGGATGAAGGCGAGGAGAAGATATTCGAAGCGAGGCGACGCGTTGGAGATTGTTATTTACGGCGGTCGCGTTTTATGCCTCTGTTTGCGATCGGGAACGAGATGCAGATGCGAAAATCGGCGTTAACCGAGAGAGCCCGCGTAGATACACGCGCGAAATATGCCCGATGTCACGAAATATTCTCGAACGAATCACGGTAGGATCGATACCGCCCGCAGCTTCCGGGAATCAGGCAGGAATTCGCCGAAGGAGAAGGAGAGAACGAATCGAGAAAGAAACGAAACGGCGCTCGCGCGCTCTCGATCGCATGCAAACGAGCGCGTGAGAAGAAAAGGAAAAAGAAAAAGAAGAAAAGAAAAGAGAAAAGAAAAAAATCCCGAGCGCGCTTCTTGAAACGATCACGGGAGGGAATCGCGGGTATCGACGAATTTTTCCAACTCTCTCATCCATCGAAACCGGTCGATGTCTCTCTTTTAGCCGAATATCATACGATTTTCGGTCCGTGATCATCCGATTCCAGACGCTGTTTTTGAAACGTCGACGTGTATGTATTTTCTAACTATTTTTATAAATCGTGACATGAAAAGATGAAAAAAAAAAAAAAACGTAGTTCGATATCGCTCGCGTAACGATGAGAGAGTCGTTAATTATCCGCGTAACACACCCTGACTCGTTGCAAGATGCGATCGACACCGACGGACGATCGATATACACAAATACACACACACGCGTACACACGCATACACATATACACATACTATTTTGCGTCCTCGAACCTTGTGTCTTTCAATCATACAATCGAAATAATCGCTTCTTAGAGTTATTTGTTATCGTCCTCTACCTCTGAAACTCGTTCGCTCGTTCCTATCACACCTTTCGTGCTCCGGACACGCTAAATCTCGGACTTTTACCGTGTCCTTCTTGCCACCCCTTCCCTTGCTCCACTCGAATCCCTCGCCGCGTAGAACTCACACCACCACGTAGGGCATCCTCCGCTTCTCAGAAGTCCCAACCCTTACGCGTATTCTCGTGAATTAACCCCCATTTAACCGCCAGTAAACCCCACGAGTAANATGTAATTAGTTAGCGATTATATCGTTGTTGAACCGGGAGTTTTTCCTTTGTAAATATGTATATAACGTGTTATACATATGTACACATGTATAAGTTACGTCTAATCGTGGTGAGACGGAAAAACAAAAGAGAAAGAGAGAAACCCCCTCGAATCTTTCACTTTCCTCCTTTTAATCTTGCCGCCCTACTTTCCCTCCTCCTCTTCCTCCTCCTCCCCCTCCCCCTCCTTCTCCTCATCCCCCCTTCTCAATCGCGATCGTTTACCTGTATAAAATATTGAGTTTAGCCGCGATTAATATTATGTATATGTTGCTCTATTTATTAACAAAATGAAAATCTCTCTCTCCTATATATATATGTATCTATAATATATATATATATATAAAATGATATATATAATAGTTATATATATTTATATATAAAACGAGGAGATATATATATATATATATATATTGTTAAAATTAAAGGATTATTTTTATTATGATTATTATATTATAATTATATTATAATAACAAAAAATACTATAATTAATGAAACGCGTGATAATTGCGTACAGCTTATGGATCCCAAGCGTTCTTACGCGCTCTGTACCTACCTATCTACTCGACGATGGTTGCACCGGCGCGTGTGCGATATTATCCGCTATTGTTCTAGATAGATCGGAAAATATGTAGGCAGAGGAGCGTATACGCGCGCGCACGCGCGTTCTCGTGAAATAAAAAGCAGAGAGAAAGGAAAAAAAGAAAGAAAGAGAGAGAAAGAGATTATGTATAAGTATGCCTGTCGATGTGTGCGTGTGCAAGAGAGAGAGAGAGAGAGAGAGAGAGAGAGAGAGAGAGAGAGAGAGAGAGAGAGNNNNAGAAAGGAAGATAAAGAGAAAAGAGGAATAATAATAGAGAGAACAATTTTTTTACGAACGATAATTACATCATAGTTGGATAAATTATGTGTAACTATTATACAATACGGTGCTCCGCGTGCAATGCACAGAAAAGAATCTCTCGACTATCTGTATATTTGTGTTGTAATCATCGTTGCCGTTTAATCTGGCCGGTTCCCTACGACGATTATTAACAAAAATACAAAGTTAACATTGAACAGCAACACACACGGTCTAGTTCTTCTTCCATACCTCGTCCGTGCAACCCTGCCTCGAATACAATAACTCGTAACCCTTTGTAACCACAATCCAAAGTTTCGCGCTTCATCGTTTTATCGCCTTTAACTCGAACGAAGAGAGAGAGAGAGCGTTAAAGCTGAAAGCACGTTTCGTTTTCGATGCACTCCTGGCTTTCGATACAGTTTATTTCGAGTTATCGGTGTTCGCGATCTGTGAAAGGTATATAAGCCATAAATCGTTCGAATCGCGTATTTATAATATGTTTCATGAGCATAATGGCGCGCAATAGTGTCGTTTGTCACGTTGAACGATTTCTCGGAGTATCGTTATTTTCGCCCATTATTTTCCTTCCCTTTTACGCGTTAGCGTCAGCCACATTCATCGACCGCGCAGACATCTTTATCGATCATCGACAATTACCGAATAGGGCATTGACGATCAAGGATGTCGATACAAGCGAACCGCATCCTACGCGACCGAACTATTGTTCCACCTCGAGGTGTGCGCGCGTGTTCGAAAGGCCAGCCTACCTATATAGAGATTAATAAGGACCGGTCCATTGCACGAGATTAGTCGTTTCTCGATGCAACCGCTCGCTCTTGTACCTCTTGTACGTTTTCCGTCCCAACCTTTCACCGTAAACACGCGGTTGGCGCCTAAACTGCGAGCTGATCGAACTTTCCGGCTACGCTTATCTCGATTTTTCCCTTGCCCCGATACGAATCGCGAACAACCGCCAATTAGCAATGGCCGCGCGTGCCAATGTTTCCTCTTTCTCCGACAAACTCCATAGTTTCTCTCTTTATCGCCGGCGGGGCTCTCTTTATCGGTCGGCCATTGATCGAAACCAATTTAGGCTCGTTCAATCGCCCCTGAAATTAAGTTCCGTGGACGCGCAAAGAAGGTTGATAATAAATACGGTGTACGCGAATTTCACGTGAAACGTGAAACGTATCGGTACGTTTTCGTGTTGCGCATCGCGTCGCGTGAATCTTGTGCGGAGAGAAAAAAAAAAAAGGTTCGAAGGAGGGGAGAAAAGAAGAAACGGTCTCGGATGTATAGGACGCTAAAACGTCGGAATAAAAAATTGTTATCTCGTTCGTAGCTTGGAGCGACGTTGCCTCTTCCAAAGATGGTCATCCATATGATTCAGAGGAGAGGCGAGAAAAAACGACACGTCGGTCCGTGCTACCGGTCACGACGAAACGATCGTTTCCGTAATCGGTTAATTAACGGAAAACGGCTACGCGTCCCTCGAAACTTGGATATATAGGTCTCTGGACGGGGCCACGGAGGCAACACAGCCAGCGTCTCGACGCTCGACACGAGAGAGGGTCCACGTCATCGATTCTTCGCGCTCGGACGAACAGTTTTGGCCGGCTCGCTGCCTCTCGCGTGTGGAGAACGTGCAATGGCCACTACATAGGTGTACATGCACACCTATATAGGAGAGACAGTGCAAGAAGTGGGCAGGAGTGAGGCTGTGAGAGCACGTCTATAAATAGGACCAAGATCGAGATGAGGCCTCCTCTGCACTTCGTGATACCTTCTCTCCTTTTCCCGCCATCTTCTCCATCTTCCTCTCCTCTCTACTCTTCCTCTTCCCTATGCTTCTTTTTCTCAACTCCTCGTCCATCCTTCTTCCACCTCGTCCCGCGCCTCTATCTCTGTCCCTTTCTCCTTCTCTTCGTCCCCTGTCTCC